AAAAGTATAAATATATTAAATATTTAAGTTATTATTTAAAGGATAAAGATCACTGTCCCATGGGAACAGGATCAAGGGAAGGTCCACAACAATGCGAAAGTGAAGAAGAAGGGGAATGTGAAGAAACAGTTACAAATCATTTAACAGAAGCTACAACATCTGCTACAGAATGGATGGGAGTTACAACAAATAGTGATGACTGTAGCTATAGGTGAAAGCTTAAGGATTGCTATGAAGTTAATTTTTTATCATTTAAAATTTTATTTACCTAAATTTGTATAAATTAAAATATTACTTCATGAGAAAATTTATCTCTCTTATACATTAATAAATGAAGATAGTATAATTTTATTACTTTTGCTTATATATTATGTTAATTATCACAATTAAATTTTGCAGACATGTATAATATATTTCATGATATAACAAAAAAAATTTGTCTATTTTTTTATTAAATTGATCTTTTAAAAATGGAAATTTTGCAGTTCAGAACTTGAGGAGTCTGACTTACATAGTGAAACTAACAAAAATTATGGAGAATTTGTGGAGCATCCTTTTTCTTGGGAATTTGAATTACCACCCTCCATAATGCTTAGTTCTAATTGTGCTTCGTACGATCGTGGTAATGTATAATAAATTATAATTTTTAGTTACATAAAATAATAATATGAATGATATAAAATATAAATAAAATGTAACATACATCAAATGGCAACTTTTTCTGTAATTTAGAATCAACAATTTTAAATATAATTCTTAACAAATTTAAAGTCTAAGATATAGTTTAAGGATTAATTAAAATACGATAATTAAAAATTTATTATATTTCAGTTTCGTGTACTATATGGACACGTCGTGATATAAAAAAAGCTGAACTATCGGTGCTGGACATCAGTTCGGCTATTATTGCTAGAGTAGAATCAATGCCTGAGAGTATGAATTATTTTTATGGAGGCCTAATGCTTAGCTTAATATTATCTTTAATACCATCTATTAAACGATTAAATGATCATGTTGGAATGGACAATAGTAGCAATGCAACCAGTTCCTTAATACCAAATGACTTAACTTATATCAGTTTGGAGACATATAGCGACATTTTATCTAAACTTATAGATATGGCATTTGGAACTACTCTTTGGTAATTACGAAATATATGACAAAACTGTAATAATAAGGACATTCTATATGTAATAAGATATAGTATTATTAAGAAAATTTGTTTAAAATGTTAACAACTGGTATTCATTTCAGGGAACGTATGGTAGTGCTCATATCAGCATTTGAAAGACTTATATTGTCTTCTTTATTATTTTTTCTATTAGCAGTTGCAGAACGTACTTATAAACAAAGACTCTTATATGCAAAATTATTTTCACACCTAACATCGTCAAGACGTGCCAGAAAATCTGACCTACCACATTTTCGATTAAATAAAGTACGCAATATAAAATTGTGGTTAAGCGTTAGATCTTATTTAAAGGTAAATTAAAATCTTACTTATACCTTTCCTTTCATACAGACTTCTAATACAATCGTAATATTACAAATCATTCTAATGTAATATTTCTCATAGAGGAGAGGACCACAACGTTCTGTAGATGTAATAGTATCAGCAGTATTCATTGTTACCTTATTGTTGTTATCATTTGTGAGTTTGGAGTTAATTAAGGTAAAAACAGAATAAAAAATAATATTATAATGAAATTGAAGTGTTGTAAACATTAACACTTATAATATCATAGGACCTCGAAAGTTTGCATTCTCGATATAATGTTGAAGCGTTGTTTTGGAGTTTTTCTCTTGGAATATTTATATTACGTTTTATGACATTGGGTACAAAAATTAATAAAAAATACAGAAATCTTTCTGTTTTAATAACTGAACAGGTAATTGTATTGAAGCGAACTTTTTATTCAAAATATGTATATCAATGTATGTGCAGGTACATAATTCATATTTTTAGTTTAAATTGGAATATTCAATATTATTTTGTTTTTAGATTAACTTATATTTGCAAATAGAACAAAAACCACATAAGAAAGAAGAGCTTATGGTAGCGAATAATGTACTGAAATTAGCAGCAGATTTAATAAAGGTAGTACACAAATTTTTTTGCCATTATATATGAAAAATAGAATTAATTTAAATTGAGTTAAATAATTAATGTACACTTTGCAGGAACTTGAATGTCCATTTAAAATATCTGGTTTATCAGCTAATCCCTATTTATACACAATTACAAAAGTGGTACTATTATCTGCCCTTTCAGGAGTGCTTTCAGAATTACTTGGATTTAAACTCAAATTGCATAAGATAAAAATCAAATAAAAAGAGATATGACATTTAATATTTATTAACGTATAACTACCTCATGACGTTAAATGGTAAACAAAAATAACAATTTTGTTATTGAATATTAAGATATTCTAACGCAGCGTTCATTGTGAACGTTTAGAAGAATGTAGTTTCATTTCTTAATAGTATAGTTAAATATGTTCACATACATATTACGTATCATCGTTATTTCTCGTAATTGTTAGAATTTTATGTTTTATAATAACACTCCAAGCGACTAAAATGTTTCAGTTTATTATAATAGAA